CATACTCTCTCTCTCTCTCTCTCTCTTTATGGACATATGTATATAGATGCATGCACATCCTATAATCCTGTCCGACTCATGATGCAAAACTCAAGTTTGAGAAATTGAGACATTGTCATTGATCACAACGCAAGAGTTGGAACAAGATCAAGATCAGAGGAGGAGGAGGAGGAGGAGGAGGAGGAGGACACAGGATTAACCCAATGTCATCTCCCTCCTCATCTGCCCCCATTGTCATCCCTCAAAAATAATCTACTCCTCTTCTTACTGCACAATTTAATATAAGAAGAAAGATACAGCTGGGCCTTGTCCTGGGCCCGACGTAGGTACATACTGACTTGTGGGAAAAATCTCTGCCGGATCCGTGTCAAATTCTACTCTTATCCCTCAGGCTCTCCCGAGTTTCCCTTCAGTTCTCCTGTGGTCAAATTTCCGTTCTGCACCTGTAACTAACTACATCTATTTTTAACTCTAGCCCCCGTTCCTGGGTCACAGAAAGACCACGCGAACAGAGCAAGCACACGGACACAGAGCACCGTCTTCACCTGCATAGAATGCCGGGTCGTTATAGCTGCTGTATTTGAGGCGAATTTCAGTCTAGACGCAGGGATAATGCCCGGGCGTTCTGTTCGGGTGAAGACGGTACGACTGCTCAGCATGCATCAGACAGACAGACCAACAGACACAAACACACAGACGAGGAAACACACAGACTCAGACATATCCCGGGTCGTTATAGCTGCTGTATTTGGGGCTATTTCATCTGAATGCAGGGATAATGCCCGGGCATTCTGTTTGCGCAGAAGACAGCAGCTTCCTCAGAAACCGCAGAGTTCTCACGGTTCAGGCTCCATATGCAGGGTTCATCGCACACCTTTTTTTTTTTTTTTTTTTGATTTTTTTTTAGTTTTTTTTTCTTTTTCCCGCACATATATGTCTTGTTACGATGAACCACGGGGTAAGACGTTGATGGAAGAAGAGGCAAAACGACAAAGAACAGGAGCCGTGACAGACTGTTTTCACCAGACCTTTACTGACTCATCCCTCAGGAGCCCGAAGCCGGGACAACTTGCAGAGCCCCTTGCCAATGCTTCAACCCATAATAAAGTTGGCATTCAAGTTAAATTTGTTAAACCCATAAAGCCATAATGACCCAAGTGGGGGGTTAGAGCCTCTGCCGCATGGATGACCAACCCTCTCTTCTGTTGATGGCTTTAACATTTCAATTTTCAAATAACGCTATCATCATTATTCATTTCATTAAATCATTCGTTGTAAAAACTACGACCAGCTCCAATCCTCTCCACTTCTCAAAATAGGAGGAAAGTTGTCTTTTAAGTTTTAAACTCTTTTTAACTTTTTTTTTTTTTTTTTCCCAGTTTGCCAAATGCAAGGAAAATGAGCGATAGCAAACTCCAGACACCAAACAGCATCATACACATGAAACCAGATAGTTGTGACCTCGAACCAAAAGCAGAATTGCAACACGAGTTCCACCAAATAAGAGCACAGCAAAAGCTCACAAGTGACAATGTGGAATAGTCTCATCATCATCAACAATGAACCAATGTCGACATCCTATCTGGCGCTCTGCGCCCAGACTACAAATGGCAGATCCTATCTAGCCTATCTACAATGCCGCTGGTGACGTCAACAGCTCCCCGAAGTACGAGCAGATCTCGGCCAATGCCTTTCGCCTCAAGCACCAGGTATGTCTCTCGCATCACTCACAACCTCGATCCCCTACTCACAGATGCCACATGCACCCAAGGACCACCATGCGCCCCATCCAGCATAGTGCAGCGCAGCTCGGCTATGGCTGCCTGCTCATCCAGCTCGCCCGTGAGCGCGTGGGCTCTGGCCAGCGTATAGCGCAGCATGCAGCCAGTGCCCGAATGCCAAATGCGAGGGCAGGCACTTTCCTAAATGGAAGTGGCCTGCCTGCTGCGTGTGGCCTGCCTGCGTTGGGCCCCTGCCCAGAAGCTTCCGGTAGGCCCCGAGAGGCTGAGCCCCGGTCCTAACGAATCAGGCCCAGCGCCTGTGACGGTTGCCTGTGCCCAACTGCCCGCAGCCTGTGTTCGGCCCTTGTTGTGTATCTGGCCCAGGGCCTGCCTCAGTTACGTACGAAAAAGGCAGCCTGGGCCTGGGCGCTCTCAACCAACTGGCGCTGCGCAACTGCCTGAATTTCCCCAGTTGCGTGGTAGCCGAAAAATAGGCCTCTTGGCCTCGGTCGGGCCTGCCTTCACTTAGGGCGGCCGACTGTGATGCTCACAGGGAAAAAGGGGCTCATTGGGGCCTCATGCCTCGCACAAACGAAAAGCTTAAAAAAAAAAAAACAAAGAAAAAAAAAAACAAAAAAAAACGGTAAAATGGGAACCGTCAGAACTGATCTATTTCAGACTTCAACCTTCAAACTGATCTGTTTTCAAACTTCAACCTCCCAACTCGTTGGTGTCAAACTTTGAACTTTCGATGAACTTTCAACAAATGGTGGAGGAAAAAGAAGTGGAAGAAGAAAGAGTCAGCAGCAGCAAGGTCTGGCCAGACACAGACACAGACACAGACACAGACACATAACCGTGCGAGTCATGGCAACATATGCGGATATAAAAATCTCGACATAGTTACTCCAATGAGAATAAACAACAGCTGCCGAGAGTTTACCCTAGACTTAGTCTAGCTACGGTGGTCGCCTACTCCCTCATCCCCGATATCAGAGTTAAACGACCGGTGCTTGGCCCAGCTATCGGCTGCAGCGCTTCCCCGTTAACGTGCCACGCCTTTTAGGGCTTCGGGGTACCGCACCACAATGGCTGGAAGCGGCAGCCCAAAAAAAATCGAAATGGTACCCCGGCGCTTCGGCAAAAATTGGCCCGCAGGGGCATTCCAGGCTCAACATCGATAGCTGGGCCAAGTACTGATGGTTTAAGCCCCAACAGTGAAGACGCTCGCTGGCGATTCCCCTACTCTGTTTCCGCCGCCACCAGACGCGGCCTCGTCAGGAGGATGAAAGCATGATCTCTTCAATGTTCAAACTTAAAAACTTACAAACTCAGAAAGGTGGAGGGAAAAAAAAACATGCAAGACGGTTTTAACTTCAAATTTCAACAAAAAAAAAAAAACCCTTCAAAATTCAAATGGCAACGATGATCCTTCAGGTCTCCAAAGAGCAGATCCAGGGAAAGGAAAAAGGAAAAAGGAAAAAGGACCCTTGGGGTGGGAGCTCACCTTTGTTAAGCGACCCAATGGAAACATGACACGTGTCAACTGCTCCTGCGTCAGATGGGACAAAAAGTATGTCTGATCTTTCACCTGACAAGAGGCCGAAACCGCGGTTAATGAATGGTTTACTTTTTCCCAAGAGAAAAAAAAAAAAAAAAAAAGTGGTTAAGAACTTAAGATGCATGGCGTTTTTTTGGCAGAAACCGGCCGTGCCCGCAGCCCTAATTTTTTGGGGGGGCAGGGGCTGCTGAATTTTGCATTCCGCAAGCCCTTCCCCCAAAAGTTTCAAAATGGCGAATCATGAAAATAGCTGTAATGAACCCAGATCGTGAACACAGTTGTCAACAATGCAAGTCCAGATAAATGTCAACAGCTGATGAGTACCAATAATCAAGATCGTGTCCAGACAGAATGAGACGAGATAAACATACACAGATGAAGAAGAGAGGAGGGAGATTAGACAAAGGAGAGGAAAATTGTAATGCCCACTCCTGCTTCGGGCTCCCTCCTCCAGCACCACTTCAATAATCAACAGTCCGAACGAGTATCTGAAATAACCTCAAGGTACCACAGGGCACATCTAATTAGTTCCTCATCAGCTCTGGAGCAATGTCGATATGAAGACAATCAGGTACGTAGTCACAATCCCTCCACAGTCCTGATCTTCCTCTTCCTCGCAACCAGTCACCTCATGTAGACAGCGTGGACAATGCCACATCAGCAGCAAAGACAGGTGGCATATGCCACATCATCAATGAAGACCAATAACAGCGCCACGTAGACCAGAAACAGCGCCACCTATACCAGGGGTAGCGCCACATATACCAGAGGCAGCGCCACGTCAGCATGCCACGTGGACCATAGGCAGCGCCACATAAACCAGAGGCAGCGCCACGTCAGCATGCCACGTAGACCATAGGCAGCGCCATATAAACCAGAGGCAGCACCACATCAGCATGCCACGTAGACCATAGGCAGCGCCACATGTACCAGAGGCAGCGCCACGTCAGCATGCCTGGCGCACAATGCCAGCGTCGCCTCTCCCTCTTGTCGTCGTCCGCAGCTCTGATGCACAGCCAGCGTCCAGCCAGCGTCGCGCTAGCATAATGCCAGCGTCAAGTCAAAGTCAAGCCAGCGTTGAACCAGCATAGCAAGACTGAATGCTGACCACCTCGAAGCCCAACTTTAAGTAGTGTTTGGCGAGGCTCTCTGGCCTCGAGCCTCCTCCCCTCAGTCGTCCAGATTGAGGCACAGCCGAAGGCCTGGATTGTACAGTTGCAGAATTTCCCCTTGGACTTGATGCTGTCTGGGTACCTGCATACAAACAAGTGTGTGTGCTTGACCGGTGGCCTGGACTGGGTACCTTTGGACTTTGACTGTTTGGGTCCCGACAGTTGACAAAACTCAACTGTAGCACGCCCAGGCCCTGAATCCCTGTGTGGGGTCCCTTACCTCGTTTTTGGCCTGGCTGAGGGCGGCCAGGTCGTCCCTCATATTTCTACGAGACTTATGGCATGGGTTATTGCATAGCCTTTAAATAGGGCTCATTCCAACTTTCTTTTTAGGCGGGGTGTGGAAACTGGCCTTCTCCCTCCCTTCGGCAAATCCCACACGGTGGTGGAAAAAATTCGCAAGAAGGGGACCAATATATAGATATATGCTGAAGATTGGCATTGGGTTAGGAACTTAACTCAAGATGAAGATGCCTGTAGCTCTTTCGTATTTTTGTTTTTTGAACTTTTTTCGTTTTTGTTTTCTTATGAATACGTACGGTGGCCCAAGGGGCCTCGCTCTACTACTCACCACATGCACAAAAGACACATAGCATATGGCAGTGTATGGTTCCATGTTTAGCAGAAGATTCATTCTACTTATTTTATATACATTTGGTGAGTGGGGTGGAGGGAGGCCCTGAAAATCACGTGGAGACACGAACAGGGTGTAGCCGAATTGGTGACCCATAACTGCCGAGCTACAGCCCTGAACTCTGAAACGGTTTTCACCTATTACGGTGACAGATACAGCACCCAGGGCTCGATCCCTAGACCTCCCCCATTACCCGTGTATAGTACCTGTTGACCCGTGCATTTTGAGCCCGCGACCTGCGTGTAGAATGCCGTAGGTTTGGCTGTTGCATATAGGGTGGTCGGCGGGGTTTGACCCGTTGGTCTTTGTTTTAGTTGTTGTAGGGTCAGCATAGGTCGGGGTAACTGTAGCTCCGAAAGGTCAAGTCTATGACCTTCCGGAAGTTCTGGAACACTGGCCTTTCGTGAGTCGTAGGAGTCTGTCCGCGTCTGAGTCGGCAGAGGGCAGTCGTAGGTCGCACTTTGTCAAGTCAGCAAAGGGCAGTCCCAGTCCTACCTATCCTAGTCAGCGGTACCGGGTTCCAGGTGGCACTTTGTCAAGTCAGCAAGTACCATGTGGGACTGTGTGCAGGGCCCAGGGTCCAAGGGCAGACCAACGACGATCCAAAGTATAAATAAAGAGGCAGCGTCAAGCCATTCATTCATTCTGCCTGTGAGTCGTGCGGAAGCGCTGCCAGAGCGTCTTGTGCTACGGAGGTCTGCAGGTGCCCGAAGGAGAAGAGGGCTAAGAGGAGGAAGACGCGGCCATAGCCGCGAGGTAGTTAGTAGGAGGAGGAAGAAGGCAGCCATAGCTGCCACGTAGGATAGGTTAGTGTGTGTGTGTAGATGTTAGGGGTGTGTGTGTGTGTGTGTGTGTGTGTGTGCGGGACATCCAGGGTGATCCAAGAGTGTGTGCGCGTGTGTGAATAAGTTGCTGGTGGATACAGTTGATCGGGCGGGAATCTTTGCCTGGCGCTCTGTGCCATAGCCTTCGAAGACAAGTTGAATCTGAGCTGTGTTCCTGGCCATGCTTATATCTGAGCTTTGTGTGGGCGCCATGCGCCAAGTGTGACCGTCATCTGTTTGCATGCATGCTGAGCGTTGAAGAAGACAAGTCTGATTACAACGAACCCACAGCATATATTGGTTGTCTGCTCCCACCTCTTCCACGTATGACGCGGCCATCCTGCTCGTTGAAGCATTGGTCCTCAACGACTCCACATATATTGTAGGAGCCATTTGGGTTATCTGCAGGGGCCCTTGAATTGACGTGAAGGGGACCCTTTGGTCTCTCTCTCTCTCTCTCTCTCTCTCTCTCTCTCTCTCTCTCTCT